GGGCCGTAGGATTTCGCCGCGCCCACGATCCACGATCCAAACTCCGACACGCACCGCCCACGCACCACCCGCACACCGCTGTCCAGCTTCACCTTAAAGAACAGCAGCTCCGAAAATCATACTGACAATGTTGTGATGAAGCTACTGACACTTCAAATAAATCAAAATAGCCACAGGCTACACTGTCTATATTCACTATACTTATGCACTAGGGTGTAGCACACTGTGAATACTTCGAGTCAGAATTCTGTTCTAGGATGATGTTGGCTGCAGTTCGGCACTGTTCTGGCCCAATTTCGTAGAAAAATTACTAGTATGCAATCCTATACCTTGTCTACCAGAGGGGTAGGCCCCAGAGGACAAGAAACAAAAATTACGAATGAACGAACTTTGTTTTCATAATGCACTTCGAGGTAAGTATAACAGTTATGTGCCCAACACAAATCTCTACATGGTCTTCCTAAAATATCTCTCCAAGTTAGAACTGGACCTACCAGTGTATCCATGCAGTTCTGAGACCCAAGAGTATGAGCACACGAACTCAACCAGAGCCACAAGCAGCTTCAAGCTTCAAGCCTCGACCCATGCTCCATTTCAAACTCAGTCCACGATCCACGCTCCAAATTCAAACTCCGACAAATCCACGCTCCACCTACAGACAGTCTATACTAATGAAATAGTGAGCTAGAGTCAAATCTCGACCCACGCTCCATTTCGAACTCAGTCCACGATCCACGCTCCAAATTCAAACTCCGACAAATCCACGCTCCACTACAGACAGTCTATACTAATGAAATAGTGAGCTACAGTCAAATCTCGACCCACGCTCCATTTCAAACTCAGTCCACGATCCACGCTCCAAATTCAAACTCCGACAAATCCACGCTCCACCTACAGCCTATGCTACTGAAAAGGCAACCTCGTCACACTCGCCCTGCTCGGCCTCACCTTGTCTATGCTCATCACCTTCGTCAGTATGTCATACCCATTGTTGATTGGTGTATTGCTCATGGCCTCGGTGGCGCTGTGCATGATGATGGTGAGAAAAAAACACAGGCATGTGAAGTTGAAAATAGTGAACTTCAGTAAAACCTCGACCCACACTCTGTTTCGATCTCAGCCATTGTGCACTGTCACTGTAATGAACCTATGTACACTATTTACACTCAACAAGGATTCAACTTTGATTCATACCGAGTCCACAACATCCTTTAATTCGTCACTCTCATCTCTACCCTCTCTGCTCTCAACCCCTTCACCTTGCATAGCACGGTGAAAGCTGTCCAGTATGCGCTTCGAAAAAGTCAGTGTCAGTGCCAGATAATGAGCACCGTCCTGGAGTGAAGTCCCATGACGCTTGGCAGGTCTAAAACCAATCATAGTCCCACGACTCTCTTTCACAACAATGCGCAGGCTTTCATCAATGAAGTTGCCTCCACCGTCAGGCAGATCCCGAGGGACAATCTTGCTGTCCACCTCACGGTAAACATACCATGAGATTGCGAAGTCACAGTAAGCCCTGTCTGTGTGAGCCCACCTAATAGCAGTATCAGCATAAGCATGAACAATTTCCAGCGGACAATTAATATTAATAAAAGAAAGCTTACGCCACATAGTCCTGAGTAAGGTATCCTTCGGGAGGGATGAAGCGTGCTTCCGGAAATTGATACACAACACCAGCATCATCCTCAATGGACCATCCTGTGACTAGATCCAAATTAATTGTCATATCAGTATTTTACTTTAGCCAGCAAGCAGCATTTTGAACTATTATTCTACTCACCTTCGGTGACGTTTCTCGTGGTCATGCTTGGAAGACATTCTTGAGCAAGTTTTGAGCTGATAGGACCGATAATGTCGTCTGGCATCACTATGCATGCAGCACGCCATAACAGGCTCATGGCGGCCAGGATATCTTCGTCACGTAGCACCATAATGTCCTGAGGCAGTTTCTTCACGTAACTTTTGGCACGGCCCCAAACCTTTGCATTGCGCGGACCTGAATTGAAGCCAACCTGTGCCATGTGCCCTGGGTGGTTGGGCTTGAAGTAGATATCAGATAAATAGTCCTTGCCAAGCACGGAATTTGTGTCAAAAAATTATTACTTACCCGCACATTGCGACGGTCGCCATTACAGGCAAAGCTAGCCACATCCGCGAGCCAGGTATATAAGCGGTCCACAAAAGTAGAATCCCCTAGGACGTTGCGGACCACCGCAAGCTCCAGTTGGGGTGTTCCGTCAGCTAAACCAGTCCAATGATTTTAATATATAACATGATGTCAATAACAAAAACTCACGGCGCCTTGATAAAACTAGCACAGATTTATCTTTGGGAATGACAAGATAACCATTGGCAGCGGTAGCAGCCCATGAGCGGTCACTGCTGTGCAGCAACTGCTCACTTTCTGCATACCATCGCCAGGCAGGGCACCTATATTTGCATCACGTTCACGCCAGATGATCTCGGGGAACGCTCTATGCAAGGGAGGCGAAGTTGATATTGTTTTGACAGACGGGAGACGGTCACGAGGATGCAGGCCCAGCACATAAGCCTGACACACAGATTTAATAAATAAAAACTAAATGAAAAGGTATGACACCCAGATCAATTACGTACTGCTACCCGTTTTTCCCGGTGAGATGCCAGCCTATCATTGGCATGACGTGCATGTTTCAGAGCCTCCTCCAATGTCTTGAGGCCACGGAGAGCATCAGCAGCATCTGCATCAAGAGAGGCAATGCTACGAAGCGTAGGATAGGCACGGCGCAGAAATTGCTCCCTCTGTAACCAGTCAATATAATAAAATGTACCAGGTATAATATGCAGCAGTACTTACAGTACTAATTAATGGAGATATATTCTCTGCACAATGGTCAATCAGAGATTTTATGTCGTCTTCTGATGATGCATTGGCTAATTTCAAGAGTATTTCTGGGCTCTGGATCCATTGAGTGACTACAGTAGACACTTCAATATAATTCAAATTTTATTAGGTTATTTACATACATGCTCGTCTGATTGCAGGTTTGGACAGAGGTGGGGGGGGCATGATGGTGGGTGGGATCAGGAGCGAGAGAAGAAGGCTGCCAATGCATCAGGTATAAGTGAACATGAAGCCCGGGGCTCTCACAGCTTATAATAGACAGTTTATTTATATAATATTTTGTAATATTCGGACCGGTAGCTGTATGTTTGCGGTTATTTGGCCAGCTGGCGTCACCAGCTCACCGAGGCTCCTCTCGTCCACCACCTTCCGGATGGTGACACCGGCCAAGCACAGGTGGGGACTGCCATCCCGCATGCCTGCCAGCCCTGTAGCCATGTGCTCTGTGCAAGGCACACTATCTACGAGCTGTGCAGCATGCTGGGAGAAGCACACCCACCGTGCATGCCGTCCACCTGGGCCGGCACTACCACGAACACGAACGAACACGGATAAACGCCGGCGAACACGAACAGACACGAACGAACATGGGTGAACACGAACAGACACGAACGAACACGGGCGAACACGAACAGCGCCGGCAGGCACAGCAGCGGCGTTGTGCACGCGTCTTTCTCGTGTACGTGGGTGCGTTTATTTTCTTATTTTCTTTCTCGGGCGACTTCTAACCCAGAAGTCGCCGCGCAGGGCCCGGCCCCGCGTACTACGAGGACACGCCGACGCGTCCGGGTGGTGTGCCATACACGACCCAGGCGCTCGCGATCGGGCTGTCGAGTCGTGTCGCCGAGCGCGCGCGACGAGCTCGTCGCGCACGTCGCCTCGGGCGGGCCCCGCGCCCGCCGACGACGAGGCATACGAGGCGCCCGAAGAAGCGCTCGTGGCAGAACCCCGCCCTCGCGTCGACGACTTGTCGGCTCGAGGGCCGCATCGACGACAGCCCCACCACGAACCCGCGCCCGCCGACGACGAGGCACACGAGACGCCCGAAGCAGCGCTCGTGGCAGAACACCGCCCTCGCGTCGACGGCCTGTCGGCTCGAGGGCCGCATCGACGACAGCCCCACCATCGACGTCGACGGCCTGTTGGCTCGACGACTCGGGCCCCAGCCGCCTCTCGCGAGGCCGCGTCGACGACAACACGGTCCGCGCGCTCCTGGCCCGTCGACCCGTAGTCGTCGGCGCCCGACGCTCGCCTCCTCCTCCCCCCATCAGATGGACCACGCGGGTTCGTGGAGTCGACAGCAGCACCCGGCCCGTGCTTCCCCCTTCCGCCTCGTCGGCCCGGGCTCCACGATTTGGCCGGCATCCTCTCGCTCGTCGACTCGTAGCTGGCGGCGCCCAGCGCTCGCCTCTCCATGAATGGCGTCTCGCCCGGGCTCCACGATTTGGCCGGCATCCTCTCGCCCGTCGACTCGTAGCTGGCGGCGCCCGGCGCTCGCCTCTCCATGAATGGCGTCTCGCACGGGCTTGGCTCATTTCAAACTCCAGTCACATCTAATTAAGGCCCACTGTACACTGAGACTACAAACACCTATCTACCCGCTAGCAGCCTGTACTGTGTATGTTATAACAGCAAGTATACATGATGTTGCTCCCTTAAAACTGCTTGACCACAATACTTTCAGTGAGATGGCAAACAGTATGTTCTCACTGCAGCCTGTTCCACAGCCTGGTACTTCGTGTATTCACCCATATGTAATGCTACTATATAATTCTAGGTAGTGGAATTCATTGTCTTACGAGCAGATTTCCTTGGCCGTTGATTATCATCCCCCGGGAGCTCAGCACGTTTGGCTGGCCAGCCCTCGCCATGGCGACCCCCAGGTGTGTCCACCATTGTTAACTTTTTACTCTGCCGGGGTTTCGGTCTTGTTTTTGTCACCGGTAACGTTTTTGGCTTGAGCTCTTCGGAGATACTTCCCTCGCTATACTGACTTCCCTCCTACTAATAGTTAGTGCTGCTACGGGGTTCTGTAGGTCAACTAACCTCAAGGTCGTCATCATCAAATTCATGACCATCATTCCACATCTCCGGCATTCCTGCATATGGATTCCATCGATCCTGATGGGCACCTGCATCCCTGCCCCACTGTTCATAGCCAGCCACGCCGGCCTCGAGAGTCACATATTACAGGCAGCCGGCGCCGACAACGTCGTGCCAGCGGACGGGCCATTTCGGCGACAGTGTCGTGCCAGCGGACGTCCGCGGACGGCACGATAACACCGTGTCCGCGGACCGGCGGCGCACCTGTGATACACAGGATGCCAATGAGTGGTCGGCGCGCCGGCGCTGTGTTGAACACTTATTACATGCAACCAGCGCCGGTGGGATGCACGGCGCACATGCATGTATTCAACGCGCTCACAGTGCGCCGGAAACAGCGCTGATAGCCGCAATTTAGTGCTGAAAACGGTGTTGAACATGGTGCTAAAAACGTGGCGCCGAAATTAGCATAGAACATGGCGCCGAAAATGTCTGCATTGAACATGGCACCAAAAACGTGGCGCCGAAAACATGGCGCCGAAAACAGGATTGACCATGGCACTGAAAACATGGCGCCGAGAAAATAGCGCCAAAATCGGCGTTGACTACAGCATTG